GTACTGTTCAGCAAGGCCTTGGTCTGAGAAGCAAATAGCCTAGCTCAGCAGTGAGTAATTATTTGGGCTGGAGGGCCACTTAAGGAGTTTTGGTGAGCTGTTGAGGGCTGTTGTGGGGGGTGGGAGGGATCAGACCTGGCCTTGGCCCCCATCACGGCTGTTTACACAGTCTGGTGGGGGTTGAGGGAGGGCTGTCAGGGATATGCAGGGACCAGATCACAGTTTTGCCCAGACCCCACACTGTCACCACCCCACAATCCCGGTCCCAGTCCTGCCCACCTGTCTTGCTCCCTACTTGCCTGCAGCCCCATCCCATCTGCCCAACTAAGCATACCTTATTCATGGTGTCCCACGCTAGTCTCTGTGAAAATACCCTGCCTGCCCACCCACTTCTTCTGGCACTTCTGGCCTCACAGAGTACAGCTCCCAGCATGCCTGAGAGCTGTATATGGGGATAAGGTGGGTTGCAATCCACGCCAGGGAACACCTGAGGGTTTTGAGACTGACTGCATGCACCATGGCTTGGGCTGCCCTCCGCACCTGGCCTGGGCAGGGCCAAGCAGCCCACCGCGGGTCAGATAGACAGAGCTGGTGGCAGGGGTGGTAACTGACCGGAGTCTGCAGCAGCAGCGCATGGCAGCCGTGGCGGGGCCTATGCAGCACTGGCTGTGGGGGCCCCCCCCAAGAACAGGGCCCAGGATAGTTGCCCCAATTTGCACCCGCCCCCCAGGGATGGCCCTTCAGATAGAATCACTTAGCAGGGCAAAACTGGCCCACAAACCATATTTTGTCCACCCCTGGCCTAGCTATTTTTCCTACATGCTTCAGAAAACTCTGCACTACAAAAGCCCTAGGCAGTAAATAGTTGCAACTTCTTGCTTTATTCAGCTGTATAGTCTGTGTAAAAGCATGACGTTTTGCTCTGTTTTTTTTTAAAAACCTGTAAAGTGTTTTTACACGTAACAGAAAAGAGCCATCTGTTACAGTTACCTTATGATGATGATGGTTTACCATTGTTTGTGATAGAGCTTGACTAATTTAGAAAAATATGCCTATAAGTGCACATGAAATTAAGCTGATCATTTTACATGTAGTTTGTCACTTAACCTCCTATTGCTTGTTGAAATTAAATGCCTCAAATATGCTTACTTATGAAAGTTTAATTGATTGTGTAATAGTAGGCAATCATTGATCCTCTCGGTGTACCTGTAAGAGGTCTAATCAATTGCCTGATGAATCTGCGTGTAGAGTCCAGTGACCCTGTCACCAAGACCTTCAATGCGTACACCTAGGCAAGAGTATGGAGGAGTAGAGGCTGCCCAAGACCTACCATCCCCTCTTTAGACCATTGAGATTTTACAATGGAAAATTTTACAATTTTAAGGAAAATGAAACAAACTCCAAGTTCAGATTTACAGACATCCAAAGCATAAGCTTGCAGTTCTGAAAGAAAAAATGCAGTGTGAATCTATCTATATTTCAGAAAAATATTTTACACCATTTAAATCTCATGCTGCAAAATTATTATCTTGTTATCTAAAATCATAGATATGGTCATGGTAAAATCTTAGGATTTTGAGACAGATTATAAAATACTAAGAGATTTTCCACCTGTGATCCTTGGTAACTTTTCCTACTTAAAAGTAAAAATACCCCTTGTAAATAAACTACAAATTTAAAAATGTGGGAAGCAGTTTCTTAAACAAGGAATCTTTTTTTTTTTTTAATGGCTTTACTGTGTAATAACTACTTTGAAAGATTTTGGATATTCAAAACCCGTTCATGTACAACAGACATTGAGTATTTATGAACAAGAAATGTATACCTGCTGTACAAACTGAAATACACTATAATGTGAAAATAATTTAATTTAAATTTCCTCCCAGTTCACATGACAGAAGCTATTTGTGCAAATTAAATTTTGTGCTGTTCAGGGTCTACAGTATAATATATTAATATCAAATCAGTTTCTTTTAATAGTAGTTTAACAATTTGCAAATAGCACTAATTTAACACTTTTTTCCTGCAATTTTTGAATCTGCAATTTGGTACATACAGTTCGAGTATTCATGGTACATATAATAAGAAGCTGAGAAACTTTGGATCCATAACAGGCATAGCTTTTTCAAAACATGATTTTTTTAAAGGATTTCTTCAGTTCTTACTTTAGAGGAAGGACAATTAGACATAAAATGTTGTGTGAGGGACCTATACGTATAGAGTAAGAATTCATTTTTTCCCAATTCATCTGACACGTTGAATGGTTAAAATGTAGTCTTTAAATAAAGCTTTATAGATGCTTTGAAGAGCCTACCAGCCAAACTCAATTAAGGCTAATACACTTTCCTTAGTATGCGGTATTATAAAACTCAAATGTTATAAAGATTACAGAACCATTGTTGGCTGTAATTTAATTTGATTTTTTAAATAGTAAAGGTAAACATGTTATCTTAGTGCTTTTTGGATGATCCTTCCTGTATAATTGGAGTGACATCTTTTAACAGGTTCTCCCTGTATCTGAACCTACTTGTATTCCCAATAGTTTAGTTTCCAAGTAGTCCTATGCTTTTTGTTTGGTTTGGAAGGGAGAGAAGGGTCAAATTCACTTCATATATATTCAATAGGAGCACGTAACTGTTTGCTTTCCTGAGATTTTGTGATATCAGAAGTAGAAAGCAGTTTATTAAATCTGACCTACATTTATGTGAAAATATTGAGTGGAAGGAGGAGTGTGATAATATTTGTTTCAAGCATAGAATCATCAAAAATAAAGAAACTGCTTCTCAGTTTCAGGCTGTGCATTAAAAAGAATACTATAGGGAATAAAGTTAAGTATTTTTTTCTATAATTTGGAGTCTAGATTTACTATTAATAATCCCATGAGTATTTTATTAATCTAATGTACTAAAATCTCATTACATGAAGATTGTTTGCCCTTTTAAAATAGTTTAAAATCTTAAATATCTTTTCAAAGCATAAATATTTGATATTGCAGATTTGTCTTGGAAAGCTAAAACCTTCATTGTTTCATTCCAGACAGAAAATCCAAGTATGGAGAGACCATATACATTTAAGGATTTTGTTCTTCATCCAAGAAGGTCAGCATTTTAACCTATTTGATATTTACTAATTTTCCTGACTAAACTATAATTTGCAATAAAGGCTTCTTTTTGTGCCTGTGTCACAACAAGTTTTATGTATATTCTAATACTGCTAAAAACACAGTTTATTAAGATATCAGTACAGGTGTCAGCACTTATTTTAATATCTGAAAATGCAAACTGGGAAAAAGTTCATAAAGCTAAGATTATAACCTCGGTTATTCACTTTCTACACACAGTAATCAGTCATGTGTTACCCTGTTTCAACTGCAAGTCATATCCTTTTCTCTCCTAGAGAGATGTCTGTGTCCCTTTTTGTGGTTAATATACAAATAGGTTTTATGTGATTTTTTGATAAAGATAATATAATCTTGAACTTGAAGGTGCTTAAACTTGCAGAAACACTCAGTGAAGCCAGGAAGTGAGGAGTGAATCTGTAGCTCCCTGCCACTGAAACAAGTGGTACAGGCCATGGACAGATGTAACATCTGAAGCACTTCAAAGACCATATGAACAGTCATTCACACCCTATGCAGCACTCCAGAAATAACCCTGGAAAACAACTATTGTTTTGGAAGTGCTTCATTTTGAAGTGCTTTGCTTCCTGTCATCCTGTTACGTGTTTATGTTCTATGAAGTGCAATAGGGTATTGCTCAGTCCTCTGGCATCCCACAGTGCTCTTCTCTTCCCACCCCTCCACTCCCCAGTGAGTGAGTGCTCTTGTGTGTGCCTGGCTGTAATTCATGCTGGAGAGCAGGAATCTGTATCTGTTTCTAGTCTCCTGGTTCTAGTAGGGGGGTGCTCTGGGAGACTTGAGGCTGAATTCACAGAAAAAAGCCAGCAGGTTCTGGAGCCCCCATGTGGAACCTGCTGTTGGTGTCCACAGCTGAAGCTGCCATCCACCTGCTGTGGCAGAAGCCCTACCCAGGTCCACAGCTGATGCCTGATGCTGCTGGGTGGTATCAGTGCTGCTTGGCACCATGTGGCAGCTGGAGATAACAGCTGCCCACAAGCCACATGCAGTTAGTTGGTGCTCATCCTCCACCTGTTGGCCTAACTGAATCTGTTGGCAGGCAGGATCTGGCCTATAGCCTGTATTTTGCCTGCCTCGTCCTAATCATAAGAAAGATCATAAAAGCATTTTATGAAAATAAGTTTACTAAGACGTAGTGAGAGAATTTTTGGTAGTCTTTTTATTATTCTGCTTTTCTGGTATTATAAACCAAAGAAAATGCCGGGCTTGCTGCATTTGTATAATCGCTTTCAAGCATTATTTCTGTTATGCAAAGATCTACCCATTGTAATTGCTGGAGTTGGTAGTATTGTGCAGTGGAAAGCAATGCTCAAAGTCCAAGTCAAAGTTTTTTCCTCTGTATAGTGTATTAACTTTCATAGTAACTAATATAAAACTTTATTTTTTATAACAAATATTATGTAGCTGTCTTTTGTGAACAAATGTGTTCATGAATTTTATAGATGTACCAGACTAATTCTGAACATGATTTATTTTGGTTTCACCCCAAAAATAGCTAAAATGAGGATGAGTCATTTTAAAAATTGTTACAGAAAGTAAGCTGACATGCACATACATTGTTTTCATTTTTTAAGTGAAAACAAATTGTTCTAGGTCCAAAATAGAACCTGCATCAATATGTTTGTTACCAGACATCATTTTTTTTCTGAGTATCAAATGTCTACTTCCTTTAGTTTAACATCAAGAATCTCAGAAAATGAGAGTTTAACTTTATGATATTTTTTATATATTGATGTAAATATATGTTGACAGTCAGTAGATATAATTTTGGAAATAGACTTATTTTGTTTCTCTTTGGACTGTAATCTTTGCATCGATATACCAAATGCATCATAATGTTTAACTCTCATTTTTGGATTGATTCTTGCTGTCAGCATGAAAAAAGGGAGTAAGGTGAGCATACAGAGAGTGTTAGCTGGTTCTCTTTTAAAAGGAAAAAAAACCCAACAAAATTGATAGTAAAAAAATTAGAAATATGATGGCATACATCTAAATACGTGAAGGCAAATGTTAAGGTAATTGAGGCTTACCTGTATCTAAAGTTTTATGGAAAACTAGTTCTTCAGATTTGATTGGTTTTCTTTTTTATAATATTATTTTCAGAATTATTTACAGTAAACTGTTGTTAATGACCACAGTTAAGCCACTTACCTTGTGATCAGTTATGCATTGTATGCTATAGAAATATTAGAGCCAAATGATGAGATGTCTTTTCATGTGGCTTAGTAAATGTCATCACCTTTTTTTTTTTTTAAATCACACATTAGAAATTTTAATGATAGAACAGCAACATTTTAAATTAAATATTTAGAAATTTTGGGCAATTTTTGTCATAACATTTTGAGATTACTCTGTAGACTTTTGCTTTATCTTGAAGAAATCAAGGAGATTGTTTATTCAAATAGTAGACTTCAGTTACCAGTTGTTCAGACAGCTAATAATAAATTGTACAGATATTTCAGATGGAAAACAAATTGCATGCTTGTACACAGTGCAGCTAGTCTGACAAAAACATTGAGTTCCTTTCACAAGTGTGACAAAATGGCTTGTGACTTGACCTTGTATCGTATTACTAAATAACGACCTTTTTCCTCTTCTGCAGTCACAAATCAAAAGTTAAAGGTCATCTTAGATTAAAAATGACTTACTTACCTAAAAATAATGGATCTGAAGAAGAAAATACAGAACAGGCAGAGGAATTAGAGGTGAGAAAACATTTATTTGGTGTTAAAGCATATGATATGACTTGTTTCAAAATAGTAAAAGTAGGCAACATAACATGATGATGTGTATTCAGATTACTACCCTTCAAATGACTCTCTAGATATTTGGTGATTATTTAGCTTGTCATTGCTCAAACGAGGCCTAAAATTATATTGTCTCATTTTTAATTGAGATGTGAGCTTTCCCCTTGTGACTGTATAAGTCAGCTTTTTTTTCTTTTTCTTTCTTGTTTTTTTTTCTTTGGGAGGGGAAAAAAAAAAGATTGCAGTAGTAAAATCTCAGGCAGCAAACTTCCTAAAATAAAAGCAGTTGCTAACATCTAGCTTGTGTTACCTTCAAAATGTATGGGAATAATAGTTTTTAGTAATTCTGTCTTTTCATATAATATTGTTAAATCCCACTAGTTATATTTATATTATCTTCTTTTCACAATTTTATCTTTTTCCAGTCAAAGTCATGTCTTTGATCATTGCAAGTTTAGTTTATAATTATTAGTAAATGCATGAAATTTATGATTTATAGGTTTTTTCTTCAATACCTTTCACAGCTGTTTCATTAGTACCACCTCTCCAGTGACTTTCTGTTATAAAACCCATAAATGCAGCAGAAAAATACATTTATTTAAAAATGTAAGTTTCACCTTCCTTCATAACTTCTTGTGGCATGCTAGAAGTTGGAGGCCCTTGGTATCTACCTGCTGATAGCAGAAAACACCACAAAGTTGTCTAGGACTTCCCCATGGAAAATGTGCTGAATAGGAAGGTGATATACAAGAGTATAGCCCAGTCCTACTGTTGTAACATCTCAGCTAACATTTTTACAGCTAATTGATAAGTTGATTGGTGTCTTGTAGTAGTTAAACCAGTACCTGTTCTGATTTTTTTTTATACCATTTTTAAAAGGTACATGAGCTATAATAAGGCATTGTTTTCCCACAAGTCCTTTGGAAGTTAATAAGTATTGAATAACAGGATGGTGGCTTAATGAACTGAGATTTCTCCTTTAACACTTACTGAGTTTATTAACTTTAAGATAATTAATTTTGCCTTTTAGCCTGGCTGGATTATATTGGACCAACCAGATGCTGCTTGTCAGCTGCAACACCAGCAACAAGAAATTCCTCCTCTACCTCCAGGCTGGGAAGAAAGGCAAGATATACTTGGCAGGACATATTATGTCAACCATGAATTCAGAAGGACACAATGGAAGAGACCAACTGCTCAGTATGTCTTCTGGTTTGAATTTTAAAGCATATCTACTTTGGACTGGCAATTCACTTCTGTCCCTGTAGAATAATAGAAGTCATGGGAATTAATAGCTCAGGAATAGGAAATGGAGGTCTCAAATCTAAACTCTCCACATCAGATCCATGCATAATGGTCACTTTGACAGTTCAACTCAGTACTTTTTCCATTTCATAGCATAGTGTGGATGTTCATGTAAGTCGCCATTTTGTAAGAGAAGATGAATGGAATCTCTAGGACTTCTTTCCTATCAGAAGTAACACCCTGCTTATTGTAAACCATATGAATAAAATATATAGTGATGCCTGTTTTACTTTGCTTGTTGCACTTAATTCCCCTCAGCACCTAGTGTTTTTGATGGCATGGTGAGCCACCACACTAAATACATTTTTATTTCCTCTTCATTACCATAGCTGAGCTGCACCTTTCTTTCCTATTTCCAATGAGTCTTGTTTTTTTACCAGCCTTAAACGTCTGGCAAATATTACCAGATGGGGCCCCAAACAGCTTATCCAGAATTCCTCTGTTGCCTCCTCTCTTAGCCTATTGCATATGATTAGTGTGGCCCCACCCTCCAAAAGATGGAACTAGACCAGATAGCCCTGCACCTCATCTGCATATAAATTTTTGGAAGATCCCAGGACTTGTGACTGGAACACCTGGTTCCAGTCGCAAGCAGGGATCCTGGTTTTCTCTGTTTTAAAATTGCAAATTATCTGATAAAAATGCATATTATCTGATTTTTAAACCCCCACATCCACAATTAAAATGAGGTTACTATATATAGAGGTATCAATTGAACGCGCTGTTTTATTGATATAAAATATTGATATTGATATTTACAATTTTAAAGGAATTTTGAGGCACTGGTAGGCTTCCGTCACTATAATAAAATAAATTCTAAGTACCTATATATTTTGGTATTTGATTTCAGGTTTTTTATCAGGGAAAATCAGAGCTCCACTGCCCCTTTTGCTCACCAGGGTGCAGGTCCAAACCCCTCATTCCCCACCCCCAGCCTTGCTGGTGCCCTTTACTCCTCACCCACAGCCAGGGCTTTACCAGGATGGTGTGGGCTTTGCAGCAGCAAGGAGCTTCCCCACTCCGCTCTGCCTGGCCATGCTGAGTCTTGCCTGCTGGGCTGCAGAGGCCCCAGGGGAAGGACAGCATGGCAAAGAGCCCAAGCCCACAGCAGGCAGCTCGCATCCACCCCATGCATATATCTTGGGGGCATGTGCCCCACTGCCCCCCGGGAGGGGTCCCAGGAGTGCGTGCAGTGACAGGGATTCCCCATCCTCCCTCCCACACCCAGATGAACCACTTGCAGTTCCATCCCACCCCCTGCCAGGGCCCTGCACCTGTGCATTCTGGGCCCCAGGCCCCACACACTGCCCAGGCTGGGGAGTATCCCCATCCTCAGCCCTGCCCAACTCACTCCCTCTGTCCCTCCCTTCATATGGGGGCCTCAATCCCCACCCCAGCCAGACTTACCTGCTGGAGCTGCTCTCTAGGCTGCCTGATTGCCATGTTGCTTGTGTAAGCGCATGTGCACATAGCGCCCCCTGCCTATCCACCCTCTTCCCTCTCCCCCAGCTCCTCGCAGGCTGGAACTTTGCAAAAGGGGAAAATCCACATGTTTCTCTGTTGAAATGAAAAATCTGCATTTTTCTTGGTCAAGGGGGAAAATCTGCAGTTTTTCCACGGGAAACTGATAACCCAGATCCCTGGTCATGGTGGGGGGTGGCGCTAATTAGCACATGGATTCTTTTGGAAGTATGTGGAATACACACACATACTGAGCACTGATGAACTGTGGGATCACCATAGCTTGAAATTGTTGTCTCTGCTGGGGAGCAATCAACTATATGATAAATCATTAACCTTTTGGCTTTGGACTAATGTCATGTATAGTTTGCACTATATACAAACAGGTACAGAAGTGTTGATTAAAAGTGTGTTTATGGATTGCCTGTACTAAAAACTTGTATCAGTTTCAGTAAACTCAATTTTGGATGAACCAAGTCTAGGGTCTGAAGGAAGCAGGGAAGGGGCTGCAGGAGAAACAAGTTGAGGGAAGAGGGCAAGGGAGCTGCCTGATCCCCCCCCCAGATATTTTTTTTTCCTTGTTGTAGCAGTGGGTGGGAGACATTTCAAGGCCAGCCTCGAAGAATTGGATTCTATACCTGGAAAATTATAACTAATAGAATTTAATTATTGGATCGCCTTATCAGGGTCATCCTGCATTTATTCTGTAAAGATACAGATATTTCTATTGTACTCTCCTCATTTTTGTACAGGGACAGTACGGCTGATGCAGATCATGGGAGCTTTCAGTTGGAAGCACAGCATGCATTTACTCATCGGCATCAAATATCAGAAGATTCTGAAAATCTAGACAACAGGGATTCTCCTGAGGTAAGAACAGCATCTAGTTACCTTGAAATACCTGTAACAGCTTTTGTCCATAATCAAATAGCTTGAAATTAATATTAGTAACTTGGGACTGTTTTTAAAAGTTAACTTTTTTTTTAAGAGCTGGGAAATCATAACTGAAGATGAGGCAACTATGTATAGCAATCAGAGTCTACAAATGCCTCTGTCACAGTGTAATTCTGATGTACAGACTCAGCTTGCAGAAGAATTGAATACCAGACTTACTACCTCCGGGAGTTCAGCCAGTGGCCAACCAGCTTTTTACACTGTAAGTTAGTGGATATTTTTCTAGTAAGTTTAACAAAGAGTAAATCTTCTCTTTATTTTCCTGGGAAACTAATTTTAACTCAGATTCTTGCAATATTAAGTGATGCCCTCATAGACAGACTTGTTGCATTAAGTAATAAACATAAGCTTTCATATTTTTTTTTTGCTTTTTATTGAAGCTATCATTATTCATACCAACAAGCACTGTAACTTTTCATTTCAATTTTCAGAGGCCTAAAAATAATTTGAATATAGTAGACCAGTGTTACAAACACAAATGTTTTATTTTTCCCCATTTTACTTCTGCAAGGCAAGTTTTGGGGTTTTTTTTTACTTGGGTTCTAAGCAGGAGTAGCAATAAACTCCATTCTTAATGTCTCATCTAATATATTTTTCTTTTCAAACTGTAATTTTAAATAAAATTAGGCAAATCAGGAAAGCTAAGTATTTCAACTAAGCATTTATGGTAAGTATGATGTGTTGTTTGATAGCATTGAGGAAGTAGTAAATCATAAAGTTCTTTTTCATTACTTCCAGAATCATTCCAACAGAAGAAGTAGTCTGCAGACATACAGGGTTGAGGAACAGCCTGCACTTCCTGTGGTAGGTTATATTCCAAAAAACACAAGTTTTGTACAGTACAGAACTTTGAAAACTCACTTGCTATGGAACTTATCCTGGATAAAGTATTGAAATTTAAGTGAGATTTGGCCTTCTGATTCTGGCAGCTATCCTGACAAAATTATAACTTTGGAATTTTAGCAGGATTGGAGCTCTATCATAAACCCTCCATCTTCCAAGTTTGCACTTTTGCTTTAATGTATACTTGTAGCCTGCAGGAGGGAAAAACTTTACTAGGTAAATGTGAAACACTATTTAAAAAGCATCTTGTTTTAATATTAGAAAAACAGTGCTATATTTCTTAAATTGCAACTCCATAAGGTGTAGTCTGAAACAGCCAAACCCAAACCAGCATTTTGAATACTTGATTTTCCTTTCTGTTGTTTTTTTCATATGGTTCAGTGCAGATTCAAATATCTTTAGTCTGTTTTATCCTCTACTCTAAGCTTGAAACTTTCACTAAGTTCTGGTTTGGTGAAATATGATGGAGGGAGCCTTAAGAAAAACTCTTTGTATGGTAACATTTCTCTTGTTAATCCTTAGTTATTGCCTACTTCATCTGGATTGCCTCCAGGTTGGGAAGAAAGACAAGATGAAAAAGGACGTTCATATTACATAGATCACAATTCCAGAACTACTACCTGGATAAAGCCTGTTGTGCAGGTACTTTTTAAATCCTGTCACATAAGCTAGTGTGAGAAGATAAAGAATAGTTGCTCCCAATCAAATAACCTTTACCAGTTTGGTGGAACTGGATATCTAAAATATGTCAAGGCTGGAAAAGAAATATGGGCATGTCTATATGGCACATGGCAGCACCACACAGAGACATGCCATGTCCTCTCTGGACTCAGCTGAGAAATATAGCATCTTGGCACATGTGTAGTGTTATACAAGCATGTGGTTGGTGCACTGTTTTAGCATATCAGTGGTATATATCAAATCAACACTGCTTTGCACCAGTGGAGTATGATTGAGTGTCAGGAATATTGCAAGTAGGGTTGGTAGTTTTCACAATAAATCACTTTTCTATGTTATTACTGGGTAAGGTAAAATTTTTGCATGTTTTTTAAGTTTTTTTTTTGAGAGAAGTGGTTGTATAAATTGAGATGTTCCAAGTGACTGACTGGCAGTTTTTCTCCTGTCGGTTTAATGTTTTCAGAATATCTGAAGTATAGTACAATAGGGTTTAGCAACCTGTGGCCCTTGTGAATCCATTGGATTCAGCCCACAGAGCTGAGGCTTCAGCACTATTGAGGAGCAGAGCACTTCTACTCTGCTGCGCAACTGGCTGCAAGGAGCTTTGACTGTGCCGCCCTATAGCTGAGAGAAGCTGGCATTAATGACTGGCTAGGTCCTGGCACCAGCCTGCCGCAGACAAGTTGGACCATTCTGGCACATGACCAGAAAATGTTGCTGACTGCTGTAGTAGAGGATTAATCATAATTTGTTTTTGTTTCATAGACATTAGGGCTGGAAAGGACTTCAGATGATCATTGAGTCCAGACCCCTGCCCCAGGGGCAGGAAGTCAGCTGAGGTCAAAGGATCCCAGCAAGATAAACGTCCAAATGTCTCTTAAAGGAGTCCAGAGTAGGTGCTTGTACCACATCTGGTGGCAGTATGTTCCAGGCCTTGGTGGCTCGGACAGTAAAGAAGTTCTTCTTTATGTCCAGCCTGAAACAGTCTTGGAGGAGTTCGTGACTGTTTGACCTTGTCATCCCTTGGGGCGCTCTGGTGAACAGGCATTCCCCCAGATCCTGATGTATACCCCTTATATACTTATAGGCAGCCACCAGGTCCCCCCTGAGCCTGCGCTTTTCCAGGCTGAGCAGTCCCATGGCTCTCTCTGTCATCATAAGGCCTGTTCTCCTGCCCTCTGATCATGCATGTGGCTCTCCTCTGGACTCTCTCAAGCTTCTTCACATCCTTTTAATTTGTGGAGCCCAGAATTGGATGCAGTACTCCAGCTGTGGCCTCACCAAGGCCGAGTACAGTGGGAGGATGACATCCTGGGATTTGCTTGAGAAGTATCTATGGATGCAAGCCATAGTTTTGCTCTCTTTACCTGCTGCAACATCGCATTGGTGGCTCATTCATCTTGTGGTCCATCATGACCCACAAGTCTCTTTCAGCCATGGTGCTAGCAAGCGTAGCACTGCTAAGCCTATAAGTATGCTGAGGGTTTTTTCCTCAAGGAGGAGTACCTTGCATTTTTCAGTATTGAACAGCATCAGGTTTTTTGTCCACCCATCTTCTGAGCTTGTCTAAGTCGGCCTGAATCACCATCCTGTCCTCGGGTGTGGACGCTTTACCCCAAAGTTTGGTGTCACTGCCAGACTTGGCCAGTCTGCTTTTGATACCAATGTCCACATCATTAATAAAGATGTTAAACCATATAAGCCCAAGGATGGAGCCTTAGGGGACCCCACTGGTCACAGCACACCATGATGATTTATTTCCGTCGACTACCAGTCTCTGGGTCCGACCTCGAAGCCAATTTCCCAACCGTTGGACTGTGATGTAGCCAAGGCTGCAGTTGGCCAATTTTTCCATGAGATGATCATGGGACACCAGATGAAAGGTTTTTTTTAAATGAAGATATATGACGTCAATCTCTTTGTGTTTTTTCAGTTTCATTTTGGAGGGAAAATTACATTTCTCTGATCCTGAGTCTTTGAAAACATGAGTTTCAATTGAATGTCACCATCTGATGAAGTGAACTTGGGTTCAAAAAGCTTGTTCTCTCTCTCTCTCTCTCTCTCTCTCTCTCTCTCAGTTATATATATTTATATATATTCATAGTCTCACAGACCTGGCTCCCAACCTTTATTTTGAGAGATACCAACTCAGTCAATAGCCTAGAAAGAGGTTGGAAGGCAGAGTAGATATGCACCTTTCAAATGAATGTCACCATCTGATACTTGAGTTCACAAAAGCTTGTTCTCTCTCTCTCTCTCTCTCTCAATATATAAATAAAGGTTGGGAGCCAGGTCTGTGAGAATTTAGCTACCTAAATACCTTTGTGAAACTAGCTATAAGCTGTCGACAAAGAATTCATAGTAACAAACAACTAGCAGCATGTGGCTTCTTCACTGACTTGACCTACATCAAAAATGAAGTTTTGTGACAAATATTAATATAATTTAACTGTACCGCAGAAGTTATTTAAATGTCCATATTTATTATGCTTTTTAGTGCAGAGACTTCCTGTATTAAGCAACTGAAGAAATGTAATGGACCAAGTAAGCCATATACTGGAGCTTACTTAATTTTTGTAGGATCTTTAAACTAGTGAAAACTCAAGACCATAAGCAGTAGCGACTAATCAATTTTACTGATACTGGGACTGAGTAATTCAATATGCTACGCCACTTGTCTTGTTTTTTTTTAAAGTCACCACTAATCAAATTTACAGGCACTTTAACAGAAAAAACATGTTGTGCTACAGGCTTTTCAACAGCTTTCTCTCCTTACTAATAGGGAGAGTGTCTCAATCTGCATAATGTTACAAGGGCAATAGAGTGAATATCTTAGGGTACCTCCAACAATTAAGTAGAAAATGGTTAATGGAACTATCACTTGTGTTTAGATTTTGAGTACTTCTGAAGTACCCAATGGCCCAGAAAAGTACTATTGAAACACTTAGTATAACTGAAGAAAAGTGTTCTTGTAGTTGTCAAGTGGACTGTGACCCAGGCATTTAGGAGCACAGTCACATGCTTAGCAAAAGCGAGAGAAATATTTGATTATTTGAAAATTAAGTATTCTTTGTTTAGTATCATTGTTTATTTTTGCATTACATTAGGCTTGTAGGGAAGAAGGGGTGAAAGGAACCTCACAAAGTACTCTGGTCTGGCTCTGTTCTCAAGGCAGGAGCATCCCTAACTGAACCATCCTGGCCAAGTGTCTGTGCAACATGCTCTTGAAAATTTGTAGGGATGGAAATACCACAGCTTCTCTAAGTAGCCTGTTCCAATGCTTGACCACTGTGGTAGTCTGAAAGTTTCTCCTAATATCTGACCTAAATTTCCTGTGCTGCAGCTTGAGTCTTGTTCCTAGCCTGTTTCCTGTGAACGCAGAAAAAAGTCCATCCCCATCTTCTCTATAATCGCTCTTCAGGTGTTTGAAGACTGTTATCAAATCCCCCTTTAGTGTTCTTTTCTCCAGACTAAATAAACATAGCTCTTCCAGCCTTTTCTCATAAGTCATACTTTCCAGGCTCCTAAGCATTTTAGTTGCTCTGCACTGGACTGTTTCCAAGCTGTCTACATCTTTCTTGAAGAATGGGACCCAAAACTAGATGCACTGCTCCAGTGTGATTAGAACAGAACCATTGTTGAATAGAACAGAAGAATGATTTATCTTGATTTACAAGAGACATGCTTGTTAATATAATCTGGCATAGTATTGGCCTTTTGCAATAAGAGTGCACTATTGGCTTATCTGCAGCTTATGGTCTACTGTAACCCCCAGGTTCTTCTCTGCCACCTAGATAATCATTCCTCAGTCTGAATTTGTGCAATTTTTCCATCCTGAGGAAAGGACTTTGCATTTATCCTTGTTGATTCTAATCTACTCAATCTCTCTTAGACTGTTGATCATAGACTGTGGACCATTTCTCTAGTCTGTCCAAGTCATTGTGGGTCCTAGCCTTGCCCTCCTCAGTGGGAGCAACTGCACCCAACTTGGTATCATCCACAGACTGGCTAAAGGTGCACTCGATCCCATCATCCAAATCACTAATGAAGATATTAAAAAATACTGGACCCAGGACAGACCCCTGGAAGAACCTAGTTGACACCTCTTCCCAAGCAGACATCAAGTCACTGATGACTACTCACTGAGCATGATGATCCAACCACTTATGGATCTGTATTGCCTTGGCTTATTGAAAATATCATGACAGATGGTGTCAAAAGTCCTGCTAAAGTCAAGGTATATTACGTCCACTGCTCTCCATCCCCCATTCACAGTGCCTATCACCTTATCGAAGAAAGTCAGGTTGGTAAGGCATGACTTGCTTTTGGTGAATTCATGCGGGCTCTTCCTGATCACCTGTTCTCCTCTAGGTGCTTTTTAATAGATTTCTTGAGGACCTACTCCATCATCTTTCCAGGTATACATGTCAAGTTGTCTGGTCTGTGCTTCTTTAGATCCTCCTCCTTCCCCTTCTTAAGGATGGGCATTATCTTTGCCCTTTTACCAATCACCCCGGACCTCACCTGACCTCCCATGAATTCTCAAAGAGGATAGCTAATGCTTCTGGATTGACTTCAGCCTAGTCATAAGAGTACCCTAGTTTGATAGTTTATTTGGTCTTGGTCTTCCTCTTCCTCTTGACATGCTTATAGAATCACTTTTATTGCCTTTTATACTCCTCCCATTATCACCATCTAACAGCCTGTCTTTGTACTTTGTTCAACAGTGGTCTTCGTAGCCAAGAAAGATACTAGTAGTTAGCAAGAGCTTATTTGTAATATATCCAAGTAGATGACTAAATCAAATGGTCTCCCTTCAAATCCTATTTAATCTATAATAATAATAGGCTTATTCTGTCTGTTTGGAGTGCTTTGATTGGTTGTCTTAGCAGCCAATCACCATGCTTACTGAAACAACCAATCAGAGTGCTCCAGACAGACAGAATAAGCGTGTTGTTATTATATATCCTGAGGCATTTCAAATGGATATGCAGGCAAGTCAGAGCTAGAATGAAGCACTGGGACCTCCCGCCATGAAGTGGGCAGGCCCCATCAAAGCGGGGGAGGGGGCAGAAAAGCAGTGAGGGGCCCGATCCTCCTCTTCCCCCCCCCCCCCCCCCC